GAATTTTGCTGCCTGACCCTGCCTCAGTAGCCTTTATGCCAGAACAGGGTTTCCTCTAGGCTGACCCTATTTTATGCTGGATCGTGTATGGCTTGTCCTCTAGCACCTGCTTAAAGCATACAAGCATAAAGCTGGCCGAAGGCACAAAGCTGGCAGAAGTACTGTGTCACAGGTCAGTGCCTGATCCAGACGAAACGTGAACTACTGGGTGAAGTAGTAGCATGTAGTCAGAGCACGAATGGTTGTTCAAACGCTGTCTGGGAGTTCTGCCGCTGACAGCCAGGGGCCCTAAATTTCTACCCACTCATTTCATGTGTTTAAAATTTAACTAATGAATCAAAGTCAAGTTCAGTAATGTACAAAGAAATGCGACAATTTCTTCATGTCTTCTATTTTGCCGGTCATGCCGGATTACCAACAAAACAAACACCGATTTTTCAATCACTTTACAAAGCTCATTAAATAAACTACACAACTGATCAATGAACTTATAAATCATTAGTGCTAATAATGCCATACTATTCAATCTTTAATGAAACAGAATACAAAAGTATTAATAATAAGAGAATAGAACTGAATAGTAAATACATGAAACACTACTGTGTCTTAGCCAATGATACATTGTTTAACCCTGGCCCTTTTAATTTGAATTACATTATGACCAGAATCTCTAAAGACCTTATGTAAGTATATTCCAGATTATGAATGAGTTTTTGCAACCTGTGTTTGCAAAATTAATGAAATTTTACACTGAGTATTATTCATTCTCTTTTGTGTGGTGTACACATTGTACTTAGAAATTACTCAGTACTGTAAGAATTTTTTTTAAATTAACAGTATTATCAGTTAAATTCCCTCTATTTGTTTTTCATGGAAGTGTTCCCACAGCAGACTATCAGGAAAATTTGGCTCTTAAATTCAAGCTAACAAAATGAACCCTAAGCTTCACTGGCCATAGTGAAAAGGATTAAACTACCCTTCCTTTGCCTATACTCAAACTCAAAAAAGGGCATCCATCCTCTGAAAAATGTCACATTTGGTTCCCAAGAATCCCACAGGGATATTAAATGCTGGTAGAGCCGATGTAGCAAGGAGAACCAGAGAGATCTACAGTTCAACCTAAGATCTCCTCAGGGAACTGCATTTTCTCTCTTAGCCGATGCAAAAGTGCCTGTGCTGTCACGCAGTGTTCTCCACCACATCAAGGCTGCACCTCGCCCTGAAGTTACAGTAACCGGCAGCTGCTGAGGACATAGTCCAAATTATCCAGTTTTGTCAAGGCAAAAAACTTTCTGTCCTCTGGTCTTTACAAAATACAAAAGCTCTAAAGGACTACCTGGATTTTCAACTGATACTGGCGTGGGATAAAGTTCACCTAAAGCACAGATACCTTCACAGAGGTTAGAGATCTAAACTAGTCACCGTGCCCAGTGAGGTCCAGTTACCCAGTTAGCTGGCCAAGCACAGGTGCTGGCTTTATGATGAGCTGGGCTGCTTTCTCACCTCCACTGACCACGCTGACTGCATCTCCACAAACTACAGCAGGAGTTTAGACACCGAGTTCACATACAGACAGAAGCGCTTAGGCTGCCACATTCTGATGTCTTGATCAGAACCCATATAGTCCTGTGTTCAGTGTTTTCAATGCACTCCTGTTTATTTTTGATAGCTGACAAAAATAAGAATTATAGCAACAATCTGATGTTGCAAACCCACAATATTTTCTGTGGAGGAAGAAATGAGGAGTGTGGGGGTAAAAAGAAATCCAGAAGAAACAAAAACAATCACAAAATACCTGCAAAGGCACCAAGCCATATGTATAAAACATAATCTCAGCAAACACCTATGTTATTTTAGCAACCATATGCATACTTTTTTCTAATTCTGGAAAGAAAAAGTATTTTAAACAATTCTGAAAATCATCTTCAACACACACAAAGAGCTAAAATGGAGATGTTTCTACCCAAATCCACCACTCTAAACAGTTATTGTTACATGACCCAATGTTGATGGGGTTTTTGCCAGCCATAACATTTTGTCATCAAAAGCCAAAAGGTTAAATACCACTCTACAAATGTCTTTAGTGAGCAGCAACAGCCTATTTCTCTGAACCAACAAGAAGAATATGCAGTAGAAGTCATTATAGAGCATGGATATGTAATCCCGTAATTTCATGCCCTGCATCTGTAACTCTCCCAAATGCCATTACTCTGTGCTAAATTAATTTAGGCTGATTTAATCAAATGAAAGCACTGAATAACTAATATAAACTAGAATTTCCTGAGCCATTATTTTCTATCTTCCAAACCCTAAAAGTTTATGCTGATTTTACTGGCTAACTGTAACTTGCAGGTCATTTGCAGAGTAGCAAAAGCAAACCACTTCAGCTTCAGGATGAGTACAATAAATTTAATGTATTCATTTGTGTTCCTTAACTCACAGAAACTTTCTCCTAAGGAGATTGATTTCTCAGGTCAAGACAAGTTTCTTTATGACCATGACTTGTTGACCATGATGTATTAAGACACATACTCAGGTAAAAACTAGAAAAAATAAAAGCACTACAGACTAAAATAGTCAGGTTTCAAGTAGAATATTTGGGAGTTTGTCTGAAATTTTTAGCATTATTATTTTTCTTTAGTTATTTTCTACAGGCAGGGCTAGGTCATAGTGCTATTTGCACCTGAAGAATTTATTTGAAAGCACTTGGGTTACTGTAGAACAACAAAAGAAAATTTAGCCCATTATGAATAAATTGGGTTTCATCTTTTGTTTTATAAACACAGTTCATACGCAGACATAAATTCTCCTCATTTTACTCAGACAAATACATTTCAATAAGCTTTCTGGTGTTTGTATGACCAAGTCTGAATCAGAGTTTGCTAAGCAAACTGAGTAAAGAAGACATCTGTATTTATCCCTTATATTGAAGCCTGGGTGTCCAAAGGTGGTGAGTTTACAATCCAGTGGATTCAGTCACGAGGTCCTTCCTTTTCTGTACACATAGCAGGCCAGAGTTCATTCTCTGTGGATGTTCCCAAAAGCCTTGGGACCACTCTGAGAGGTAATAAGGGGAAAATCTAACCTAGCTTTTTCAAGACCTTAAAAGACCTGTTTACTGAATATCAGTGAGGTTCAGCCATCAAAGCAACTTATAAATATACGGTCACTGACACACATTATACTTTGGAGCCTGGAAAAGAGACACTGCCTAGCACAACTGGTGAAGACACTGTTTTTAGCACCTAGATTCATCTTGACTGATTATTTCATATTACACACACAAGAGAAGTTACAGCAGAGAGCGCAGTGGTCCCTTCTGGTGCAGCAGGTACACCTACAGATTAGAGCAAGGCTGGCTACATAGTGTCTGCTGGCAGACTTCTGCTAGTCTGGGTACGGCACCACAGCCTGCAGCGTCCGCTAGCCCTCCAGAGATCCCCTGGACATAGAACAGAATTGTGAGCAAGTCTGATTGTCAGCAAATCCAACACAAGCATGCTTTTGATGCTAATGCACCATGGGCTAGGAATGCTAAGACAGGTAGGTTACGCTTCTGGTTTCTCTTCCTGTGTAAATATGTCTTTAGATGGACTGGAGGTTACAAGTTCCCAGTAATAAATCCGCCTTTTCTTTGGTGTTTTTCTAACTTTGTGTGTGTTGAAGCTTTGGCTTCCAGCAGCTGCACTGTAAACTCAAGAATTCTTGCTTTAGATCTAGTCTCTAGCACTAAAAATTAAACACTCCTAAAAGTGACATATTTCTATGCATGTATTTTACACAGCAGAAATCCCAAAGGAATTCTGTTCTTGCTAACACTGACTAAAGAAATGACAGAATGAATCTCCAGCACAGAAAGTGTTTGCTTCAAACTCTTGTCTACACTCTAAGGTCCTTCCCTTAAGTGTCTACTGGAGAATCAAGGAGAGGAAAAAGTATTAATAATTATTGCTTTGATGTTAAAAATAGCTTATATAAAGGAATCTGTAAACCTCTTGGTAAGTATATGTCTGTCTGACTGTCTTATGATGATTGCTTGGCTTTTTAAACCCTTTCGGGCCTCAATTCAGTAAAATACTTAAGCACAGTACTTAATGTAAAGCACAACCTCAATTTCCACTGGATCTGAAGCGTGCTTTTGGGTGATTTACTGAATCATAGCCTGTACCATTAATGTTTCCTTTCAAATTAAACATTTTGCCAGAGAAAAAGAAACCAGGGAACTCAAGAAGATTCTCTAAAGTTTATTCCACTGAAAGAAAGGAACAGTGAGGAAGGCATCAAAACTTATAGTCCATCAAAGCACTGAATGTATCTGAATATTTTAGAGGCTTCAGTCTTAGGACATTCACCTGACATGCCTAGTGCAGGTTTAGAAAGCTCAATTCTGAAGAGTGATGAAAAAAAAGTAAAGCCAAAATGCAACAACTATGAAATAGGCAACATAATTAATTCACACTAAACTGGCGGTCAGTCTGTAGAAAACAGGTGAGTGATGTAGCAAAAAAGCAAGTAACACTGTCTTTCCAATTTCCTGTTAACTGACCACTGGTTTCTGATGGGACTTTGCTGCTCTTCAGGTTTGCCTCCTAAGATTTACCACTACACTGTAATTTTCCAAGCATGTTTTTGCTACATATCACCCCCCAAAAAAGAAAATACAAGTAGATAACAAAGAGGCAGAGAATTAAAGAGGATGTAAAAAGTAAATGTCAGACCCACTCACAGATGCAAACAGATGTGAGCCAGAGGCTTTAGTGCAGTAATATCTGTTTACACCTAGTAATGCCTGGCCAAAAATATTTCCATATAAAAGGAACGTATGATGCGCGAGCCTACAAAATCATCACAATGCAAATCATCAAGTCACTATCACACGATGAGAGTGGAAGCATAATGGTTATTAAAATGGCTTTCACGTAAATGGCTTCAGTTTTAACAAGGCTTAATGCATGTCTTCACAGGAGCTTTGCAAAGTAAGCATAGCATAAGTTTCTTACCTGAGCTTTTATTGGTTTTATTTTGTCTACTCTTTACTTGCTCAGTCCATAAGGTAGGATAACGAGAAGCTATATCTAGGAAAAAAACAACGACAGAAAAAAGTTGTAAATGTTACAAGTTTTTAAAAAGTTAGTAGCCACTGAATAGTAAGTGGCTAGTTTTAAAGATACATGGATCTACAAAAGAAAAGGGTGCACAGGTTTGTATTAGGACAGTTAAAACCTTTATTCATGCAAAGGCATGAATAGTTCCTTCCTTATCCCATTCATACAAAAGGTTGAAAGAAATACTTTTAGAGTAAAATTATATTTGATCAGAATAAAAATCTCCCAGTGTGGACCCAAAATATGTAATAACTTCAGATCAGATTCTGTGAGATTTGCAGTGAGTGGTAAGGCAGCCACAATATAGGACTATCATTGCACGTAGGCCTTGAGCTTTCCATTCACAGAGCACCAAATTTCCCCAGAGGCAAACATGCCTGGCAAAACATCAACCTTAATATTACTGGGCAATATGCTGAGGACAGAATTTACCCTTTAAGTGCCTTATTTGGCTACGCAGTTTTAATCTGCACTCTGGCTCAAGTTTAAAACCTGTCTCTGCCCTGAGTGGTGACAATTAAAATTGCTAATGTCAGACTCCATAGCTACAGTGTCATCTCAAAACTATCACACAAAATTCATTGCTTGTAAGTAAAGACTCTGTTGTATTTGCAGTCTTTATATGGAAAAAACGTACAGATGCTTTCAATTTCTTGCAACTGCCCCAGCAGTTGCCCTAACTCTTAAGGTGGCATTTAACGTTGTGGTATACGGTCCATACTGCATAGTTTAATACCACACTGTTAAGTTCCTGTCGATGCTCACCTTCTTCATCACCTTGAGGCTGTGTCTCCAGCGCGGGAGCTGAGGCATCATCTGAATTCAGAATGGAAAAGATTTGCAAGGAGACTACAATTATGAGAGTAAGCTAAATAAGTGTACATACGTGATTGATACTAATGATTTGCACATAGCCCCGGCCGGTAAAAAAACAATTATTTAAACATTATTTATGGCTACTACACAGCATAGATATATTGCATCTACAGACTACAGATTATAAAAGGATGGCTTTTGAGGTTATGGCTGATGCAATGATCGCACGGTCTTTGATGAGGCATGAAGTGATCAGGTCTCTCCCTGGACAGTAATTCTTCCTTTTTAATGCTGCACATTGATACCTATAGATTATAACTGATCAAATCAGCATTTCTAAAGAAGTAATTAGATAAACGTATAGAAGTATTAAGACCTGTGAAAGCAAAAGCAGTCTGGGGTGAATGAGCAGCTGCAGACATGTTGACACCTTAAAATGAAAGTTTTTTCTGGCACAGCAGGATCTATGTAACAGTCAAGCTGATTTTATAAGCAAGATTCACAGATTAAAGAACCAGAATATTGTTTGCATAATTCTTATCCTCTGGTCAGCCACCTCCATCCATCCACAACAAACCATTACTGCAAGAAAAGAGGGAGGAAAATTTACAGAAATTATAAGAGGATGTGAGTAATTTTAGGTTCAGTAAAACACAGTAAAAGTAGTGCTGGAAAAGAAAAATTCAATATAAAAAATTATTTAAGTTAGCATGCTATGAGAAAGAGCAGTACCCAAAGACCCATCTTTACCCTATTACATTTTGGTTATTTAAAATCATTGCAGCTAGTGGGTAACTATGACTTAGTAGGCCTTGCTAGTACATATTTTCCAGTCATTACTGTTTCCTGTAGCATGGAGCTAACTCCAAGACCAAGGTGTCCCGCAGTAAACAGCATCTTCCATGCAAGGGTTTTATTAGCATTTCTTGCAGTTTTACAACTGGATCTCTGACCAACGAAGTTTCCAGATTGCTTTCCTGGCATTTTCATGGAAGCTAGAACTGAAGGTAACTGAGAAGCTTCCTCTTGCATGTAGCCTTGCCGGGGTACCAGCGAGCAGCAGCTTTAAGGCTAACACACCGCCTCTTTCCATTTCTTCTTGCTACTGCAATTCAGAACAGCCTCCTCCTGTTCTCTTTGTTGTCACCATCACAGGGTTTTTTGTAAATCTGTATTGTCTTTACGTATATCATGCAGAGGATTTGGAGGCCTTTGCCGACCTTTGCCTCTGGAGGCCACAGCCTAGTTTACAGCAAATACAAATACCGAGTAAATACTGATAGCAGGTAAAACCAAATTTGCAGCCATGGAACACTAACCTCCATGCTCTTCACAAAACCAAAGCAGCAGCAATAGAAACTTATTTTCACTGCAAAATGTTTTAACCAAAGCATAAGGAGACTTCTTGTAAGAATGCTCATTCTTCATGTCCACTCACTGACAGGATACTTTGCTCCAATGCCATAACAGACTGTCACTTCTCATGAGTTTTGCTGGCATTTTTGTGGTGTCCTCTGGGTGGTGGAATAAGACCATTGATTAATTTCAGAGAGGCCCTCAAGAATCCTAGTGTACTGAGAATCAAGACATATTTAGATCATCAATCAGTATGTCATTCAGAAAACCCAGAATTTCAGAGGGTCGCTTACAGTAGGTAAATATTACCAACAGCCCAGCCAGAAATTCAGTTTGGGGTTTAAATGACATTTTTATAATCATTTTTTGGTATATAATTTCAGTTTGTGACACATTTGATCTTACGTTATTACCTGAAATTCAGATATAATGCTGTGACTTTAGCAATTATCAGCCTCATCAAAATTAGCCTCTTGAACTTTGTTCAAGCAGCATTTAAAACAGTTTAACAATTTATTTATTTAAAAAAAAACAAACAAACAACAGATGTTTAATGATTGAGTCTAAAACTGGCCTCAGGTCCCCCCCACCCAGAAGAAAGAAAGAGGTTTGCTTTTGGTCATCAACGAACCAAACATTTGGCACAGGGTATCTGTAGAACCTAAAAGGCATTAACTTCACTCCAGAACTGGAGGAGCTACAACAGCTCCTGAACTACCCTTAATCTGCAGGAAGACACCCACATTGATGTACTGTTTCCAGTCTGTCAGGTACACCATCTTTTCATAAACACCTTTAGTGTTAAGAACGAAGAGGCACATGGCAGTTCATTGTTCAAAACAACATTCAATAGAGAGTCACAACCACAGAGCAGTTCATCTCCATGTTACTTAAATATCTCTCAGGTTAATTGCATAGGTCTTCCTGGCTGGCACATGCATACCAGTCCTTATGTGCATACATTTAAACAGAAACCATTCTGTTTGCTGTCAGAGTTCAGTTACCAAGAACACAGTCCTGCAGTCAGCTAAGAACCAGAAAAAAGGGATGTGACCCGAATATCTGACATGTGCTTTTCAGACAGTCTGACTATTTTCTTTGGATAGAGGAGGGAACTGCAGGGCCAGGGAAGATACTTAAGGAATTATCTTTTAAGCTTTATTCCTGTTCGGTTTAATGTGCAAATTTGCAAACATGAAAGCAGAGCCCTTGACCTCCAAAATCTGCAGCTGGAACTTTTCTTTCAGCAGGAATTGGAATACGCAGAGAAAGTGAGGTGCACGACTGCAAAAGATACAGCCCACCAGGTCATCTTCTCCTGTGAGTCTCTGTGGGACATCTTGGGAGAAGAGACTGTCAGGCTAAGTCTATGCTGTCTCTTGAGCTAGAGTCCTCAATACCACAACTGAAGGTCCGGAGCGTCCTCTGCAGCAGTGAGAACATCGTGAACCTGCCTACGCTTGCTGGGTTACAGTACGGACAGGTACCCCCTCCCAGGCACCCCTGGTTAGTCCTCAGGAACATGCAGAGGAAAGATGAGCAGGGAGCTCTATGGTCACTTCAAAAACTACTGCTGTGCCCTTTCCAGCTGAGCTACAAAATACTTCTTACTACGCTGACTGTGAAGCTGGAGCACAGCTCTAACTCAGCGAGCTGATCCTGTTCAGTACTCTCTGATGGTCCCTAAAGAGGTTGTGATGTCTCTGACAATATGACATTATTTAAAGCATATGGCAGTGACTGGCTGGGAGAAGGGTGGGGAGAGGAGGTTACCAGCATCTGAGGAGAGCCGGGGACCACCCGGGAGCCAGGCCAGCGGCCCTTCCTGCTGCAGGCCTGCGCTGGAGAACAAAACCAGGGCATGAATAAAATGCAACTGTGTCACTTTAGACACACATATTTGAGATGCGAAGGGAGACCCGATAAACTGTGTTCATTTAAGTTTCCTGTTCTATGATTGTTCATTCAGGGTTCAGCAACTCAGCTGCCACAGTCACAAACAAAAATAAAGGGTTTCAGACAAGTTTTATATATGGGATAGTTCATTCAGTTCAAAGCTGAAAATGAAAGTCCTGACCTAAAGCAAATGAGTAACATAAGGTTAGTGGAACCCACAATTTGTCTGGAAATACATGAAGGAACAATTTTCCAGTACTTTGTAATTATTAGCTTTTAAAGAAGTACCGATTTTCTTAACCTAACAGCACAATACTTTATTTAAATGTTGGGTATATTACATTGCTGCAAAAGTTCCTGTAAAAAAAATATTTCAGTTATATTTACAGTGCACCAAACAGATAATCATCAACATTAGCACTTCTTTAAAATTACTTCATGCCAGTGTAACTGGCAGCAACATTTAATATGTTATTTTCAGCTGAATTTAAAAGTATTTTAAGTTTTTGGAAAGTGTAAGCTTCAATTTTGTTTAAAGCATAGACATCTCCCTCATTTAAATCTACCAGCTATGTTGGGGTTGCATCAGATTTTGTCCCACCAACAAGATATACACCACGATCTATCTCTAACAGCAACAATCATCTGGCCATTAATGTAAGTCATCAGATGGATTAATCACAATATAGAGCAAAGTGCTGGGTCCAAGATGACTCAAGCAGTGATTGCTATGGAAATAAAGTGAGGACTTCAGTTCCCGAGATTTTGGGACTGCAGAATGCTGTCTTTATCAAACAGACAGAATAATCTGTCCTCCAGGGCAAGCAAACAGTATGGGAAAATATTTCAGAATATAGCTATGGGAAGAAAAATTATCTTCCAAACAGCACAGAATAGCAAAGTCTGTAGGTCTGAGACTAGAAAAATATAATGTCTATGCATATATAGACAAATACATGCAGACATATAGTTACGTTTATACTCGTAAGTTTACTAAATATCTACAATGCAGACATAAAATGAATAGCATGTATGCATGTGTACATATTATATATGCAGCTATAATACATGGTGAATATATACTACTAATTTAAGCCTACGGAAAATCATAGTGGTGTACCCCACAGCTATTTTAGGTTCTATTTAAAGGCCAACTAAGATATTTACCTGTTTTTCCTGCACCTTCTCGTTGTGGCAGCTTCTCACTGACTGAACCTGCAATTGGAAAAAGGAATTAACCAGAGAAATACTATTTTCACTTTTAATGTATTTTCTAAGAAACACAGTTCAGCTTTAATGATTCATTTTTGTTTATTACAGCAACAAATACCAGCAAGCTCTTCCCTCACAAACCAAAGACTTTAGCTTGGCCTGACTTCTGCATTTGGGTACGACCGATTTACTGCCAGACGCTACTTCGCGGCCAGCGCCGGACCTGAGAGAGAGAGAACGCGAAACACAACATAGAGACACAAGCGAGAACGTGCTCACGTGCAGCAGAGCCAGCGTCTCCCTTCCCCACTGACCCGGGGAGGACAGGCCCTGCAGCGAGGTGCGTCGGCCATGGCCCATCACGGGCAGGGCAGCGCCCTTCCTACACACACAGAGTCCTGCCCGCAGGCCTCAGCTGCTCTGAGGGCCTTCTTCAGCCTCTAGCCAGGTCCTGGCCCCGATTAAAAACCGTCCCTTTCTGCCTTCAAGACCTCACCAAAAAAAAAAATACCTCACAGAACCCTGTGCTGGTGTGGAACGGTGTGTGTCGGGGGGGGGAGGCAGGGACAGGGCCTGACTCCGAGTTTGGGCCTGAGCTGGTTGCAGGGGACGTCGCCGGAGCTGCGGCCCTCAGGAAAGGAGAGAGCGGGGCTGGGAAGGGAGAGCGGAATTTTGCAGGAGATGAGGTTTAACAGCTCATTTTGCCAGCCTGGACTCCAACCCAACCCAGCACCCCATCTTGATTTCAACTCTTCAAGGGATGGAGAACCTGCTGGCTCTCTTAGTAGTTTTTACAGGAGGTAGTTGTCCTTAGGGTTTAAAATAGAAATACTTCCTTATTGCTTGCTTACATCTCACTATTACAGCCATTTGGATGATTCTAACTCCTAGTCACTTCTTATCGACATGTCTATCTCTGCTGCGTTAAAAAACACCTTTAAAAGTGGTATTTTTCTCTCTGAAGAGCCACACGGAGCGATCAAAAATTTAAAAGCATAATGTCTATCAATTCTTACCACATAGTTTCTTCTTATGTACACCTGCTTTCATGAAAAAAAAACAAAAAAACAAAAAAACCAAACCCACATCTGCTCAGATGCTCAGAAGTGTGTGAAATAATTTGGTTGCCTTAATTTTCTTAATTTATTTCCCTCTGGAATAACTAAATTCACTGGTTTAAAAAAAAAAAAACAAACAAAAAATCCCAAACCTTTCAGCACAATAAATCTTTTCTAAAAGGACAATTTAAATAAGAGAACCCACTAAATCACAGGCCTTGTTTACCATGCTGAACTGATGGTTACTTCAGCTGAAGTATGAAGTTTAGACACAGGAGTCTGCCAGAGGGAAGACAGCTAACATCACAAACTTCGCATGCTGATTTTAAAGCCTCCATAAAATAATACATGACAGTACAGCCAAGCTGGTATTACCTTCTGAAGGATTCAGCTTTTTATGCAGCTTTTATATATCCATATAAAAAAATATTCTAGTTTAGGCTTGTTTCCTTTTTTGGTAGTAGTGTATTTTTATTGTATTGTGTTTGAATCACCAGAAATTCAATATATTTAGTGATGCATCAGCATTAATTCAGACAGGAAAAATAAAGTCATTGTCATTGCAGGAATTATATCCAAAGGTGTTTGGGGTAGCTTGCTCTAAATAGACTGCAACGCTAATCCATGTTGTTCACTATGAAGAGGAGGCAGATTCTTGCATTTAGGCTAGCGGAAGCCAGAAGATCTGAGCTTCTTGGTGCTTGGCTTGAATTTGATAAGAGGCTCAGCTTGAACTCAAGTAAGATGTTCCAGTTTTAGGAAGTACTGCATACAAAATTACAGGTTTTTCTAATTGCACTAAATACCAGTGATCCAATCTTTCCTCAGATTTCATCCAGTTACAATTAACTCTGTAGTTTCTCAATTTAATTTTGATGCGCAGGCATATAATTATAATTCTCTTGCAAATACAGAGATTTTAGGTCTGACTCTCATCCACACTAAAGCATTTTACACCAAATTGTGAGTAGAAATGAGGTCTCAGCATGGGGAATGTGTGTGATGAACTGCCACTGATAGCCCCTTTGCGCTAAAAAGAGTGTTAAGTAAAGCCTTAGTTTGACACCAGCATTGTCTCTCTATGTACATTCAGAACCACTGTTATAAATTGAACCTAAAATGCAGTTTATACGTAATTTAACACATTGGTGAAATTTATATAATATTCCACATCTTAAACCAGAAGCAGAAAAATCTTTCCACATTTAATAACACCGCGATGCCTTCAGATTACTCCATCTGTATGTGAAATAATGAGAAATAATGACTATATGATATTCACATACAGTCCAGGAGAATTGAATTCTTTTTTCTACACTTTTCTTTTTTTTTTTTTACCCTAAATTTTGATGGAAAAATCGGTGGATGGAGGAAGAGTGGCATTCACAAAGGCTAACTTTATCATAGTGAATCTAATTTCACTATAAAATTAGATTGATGCTAGGAAAATGAAGTTTCCTGGGCTAACATTAATTTTTAATAGTCTTAGGAAGCTAACAAAAATATTCACAGAATTTCCCACAAAGGGGAATCTGTGCCCTTCACATAGTTTCACCCAAAATTTGCAATTTATGCGGTAGAAACTTTTCTTGTCTCCAAGCTGGAGGTGAGGAGGGGTTACTGAGCTTGTATCAGCTTTTTCCATCCTTTTCTGAATATATTTAAGGTAGAAGTACTTCTAGCTTAAATGGTGATAGGAAGTTGCATTTGCAAGTTTCTAGGAAATTGTATCTTCAATACTCACGATGAATGCTCACATTTTCAGCTAGGCAAGAAACAGAAATAGCAACTTATAACTTGTCTAAAAGTTAGGCAGTACAATCAGCTTCCATGTTTTCAGTGCACTGTAAGCAACCAAATTACCACATAAATATATTTATGGAATGGGAGAGGGCAAGGAGGGATATTAGATTCAGCAGCATTAGTCTAACAAGAAGAATTTAGCACCATTCTAGCTTGAACATTTGCTTAGCCATCTATCTGTTTATGATTCTGATAAACTTAAAGAAAAAAGGCAGAAATATTCATGCCTTAGTTTACTGCAAACCCCACAATTCCTCCCAGTTTTACACTAACAACTTCTGAGGCATGATAAATCTTCCGAGGAATGTGATGTGAGTTTTGTGGTTTGTGATTTTAGCATATCCATCTTCTATAGTTCTGATCAGATGTGACTGGGCTTTAAAAGAGAAGGTGAAAGTCTATTATTATCTAGCTTAGAAAATGATTTCTGATCTCCTACTAAAGAATATTTGGTATGTAATCATTGAATGTAGATATCAAGAAACAGGAAAGGAAACTTCTCATGCTGTTCTCTATCTTACATATGGGTGTGTCTGACTGTGTATGTACAGGAAAAGTACTGTGTATGGGGACAGAAGATCTAGATGATTCAAGGATGGATATTTTTCCCAGCTAACAAAAGCAATATACTGTAAATTTATAAAGTTCATTGCCTTCTCAAATATATTTGTTTTCATCATATTATCTGATGATAATACTATACAGACTGGAAGAGTTCTGAATTTTTAAAGGCACTTGTATTTTGGCCTTAAAAGGTGATCATGCCATCTTAATTGTAAGGTAGCAAAACTACTTCACAGAATAATAAAACATGTCTCCATACCTCTGCAATCTCACTGGCAGAAGCCCAGAATAGTTAATAGGGCATAAAAACCCTGTTTTTAGGCAAACACTGTGCTTTCCAATGATAATTTAACACCTGCTTCTCAATTTCTGCCCCATTTCCCAGGACTCCATGCCTATGGAATTTCTGCAGTTCCCTGCAGTGCTGATAACAGAGATGGGGAGTTGTAAAAATGTCTTTTTTATGTCTGGTGTTCTTTAGTGAAAGTATTGGGGAACATTCATCATTTTTAAGGAGCTTTCTTTCTAAAGCTGTCATGGGAATGTGTTTGATTTACTCTCCTTCTCACCACTGCTCCTGCAACAGTGGAGATTATTTCCATGGAGTTGAATGGCATTCTGAGATTTATCGTGTGTGTTTTAGCAGTACTAAGTGTCAGTGTGGGAATAACTGGAAAGGATGGAAGAGGAGCCTCTTTCAGGTAAAGATGTAGTAATTAAAGCAAAGGTTTTACATAAATCAGTTGTAGAGTCCTGCATTTTTTAATGCTGCTTATAACCTCCATCCTTGCACACCTTGTGTCGCTAGTGAAAAAGGCAGCTTCAGTAAGAGCAACCAGAACAACACAATGAGCAAAAAATGGCTCATACAACTATTGTAGATAGGTAAAAAATATGCACGTGACACTTTTCTCTCCCAGGGCCCGAGATAGCTGCATTATGCAGCTAACCAATATTAACAGTTAGATAAACTTAGAGGGTTTTTTCACCTATCCAATATCACACGGTAAATGTGAAGCATGGACAGAAGATGGAATTGGGAAACCAAACTCCTAACTGCCCATCCTAAATTCTGCTCCATACTTCCACTATTAAAATCCAAGTTCTTCCAGGCTGCCATGCTCTTCTTTCCTATTTCTGGATATTCACCAAAGTCAAAGGTGGTTCTACTAGGAGAAAATGAAAGGCAAGAAATTATCCCATAATTTAGGAACATCACAGTTGATTTGACATGTATTCAAACCTTATCTGAAGTTACTGAAGAACTAACCTAGAATTGAAAAGAAACACTGAACATTTTCATTAAAAAGAGAAATTTTCACACATTCCATGGTATCACATTTCCTATGAGAAAATCATTACAAAACTATGTTCACAATTGACTCTATCTGCCATCCTGATTGTCTGTGCACATTCTCCTCTAAAGGGAAAAGGTAGCAAAAGTGATCCTGGGTGAAAAAATTCTGGTACATGCAAACTGAGGAATTTGCATAAATGTCTTTGAAATAGCTATAGCATCATGCCTGCAGAATACACAGAAGCAAGTGAAAATACATAAACATGCTGGTGTCAGGATGCCACCACTACAGGAGATATGCCCGCAATATCAAAAAATAGCAAGGCAATGCCTGCAACGAGGCTAGCAACGGCACAAGGTATTAGACTGAAGAGGGACAACACTGTTGGAAGAAATGGCATCCCTGAAATACTAACTAAAACAGGAGTGCATCTACTCAACTTCATTATACCCACTAATATTTGGATTGTAATTCCCGTGCATAGTGGTACTACAGAAAAAGTACAAAAAGGAATCAACGGTGATCTGGAAAACATCAACAGTCCTTCTAGGGGAAAAAAACCCTCTGTTATCCTAAACAGATGGCAATTTTGAATATATACTGGGAAATGGGAGAAGGGTGCAGTTGTGCTTCAGGCTTTCATTTTGCAATATAAGAGCAAAGTTTTGCCTTATTATACCACGTAACTTTCTGAGAAAATCTGTAGCTGCATTCTCTGCTGAATGAGAAAGTTTCTCCAGACCTCTGAAGTTTGAGCCCTTAGCCACTACCACTGCAAAATCCCCTAGCATTTCAAATCTACTTCCAAACACTGCTGTGGCTGGACTTCTTTCCTGAGGGACAAAGGAGAAGTGGTAAGCAGTAAAACATGAGAGCACTGATACAAGCAAGGGAGGAAATGTGCAGAGATAATCCCATAGGGTCTCCTAACAATTGGAAAATTACCCACGATCTTCCATGGAGCAAAATCAAACTCTGCAAACTCACCTGGACCCTGGAGTAGTCTATTATCTCTGATCTACTAAACTGAAATCAAGTGCTACTATCACCTTCTCCTTAGCATTTCTGTAAAACTAACTTCCCTTCCCACCCCTCCCAAAAATGAGCTGAAGCAGTCTGGCAGTGTATCTGCTGGGCACATGAATATACCTTTGAGAGGAACCAGGGTTTGATTCCTGTAGAGAAAGAATAATTCTCATATTAATCTATCCATTAACCTGGAACTATACTGCAGCTTCTCCTCAATAACAGCGAATACAAATAGAAAAAGTGAAAGTAACTAACTCAGCAACTTTTTGCGCCAAAAATAATGCCATGCGTTGTGACACATGTGCCAAAGAATTACTTGTTGAGCTTTCAGCATCAGCATAACCCCTTTTTCACTGATGTCAGTGAAAGAGAGGAAGCTACAAACTGATATTGCAGAGAAAGCAATGAAGGCACGCTTTCAGAGAAGCCCTGGCTATGGACATGCAAAAGCACCTCTACTCAAGAATACATTGAAACACAAAAATGCTATCCTAACCATGTGTCTTCTGAAGATGTGATCCAGTCATAAACAATAACTACACTAAAAGGAATGCACATTTTTTATCTATTTTAAGGCTTCCAAACATTTTATATTATTTGTCACAACTGAGTGTCATTCCACAGTGACTTTGCGGACTGGATCAAAAGGATTAGTCTGGCGAGTATTCTTTCTCTAAAGTCTCTAAAGCCTGTAGGCTGAAGTTCACCTACAGGCAAGATGCATAGAAGATTCTGAAAATCATTTAAACAAGACAGACCTTAAAAGCAGAATTTTTTTTTTATAATCTTTGTTGTAAGTTTCTCAGTGGTCTCTTCCTTCCTCCATCAAAAAAAAATCAATATTGTGCTCAAAAGATTGAAGTAGATTAGACCAGCTGAATTCCCTGAAAGGCCCTAATCCACTTTTTTTACATTACAGGGTTAGCTTTTTAAAGCTATTCCTTCCGCTCTCTGACAGAGAATAGTGCTGCAGCACAAACAAAAATGCAATACATAGAGCTCAAGTATTTTTAGAGCTATTTCTGTGCAATTCTGTCAGTCTCAAGGAAGGTGAATAGCAATTCTGGCAACTGTTCATACACTGGGGATTTATATTTATTATCAATGTCAATGAAATAGGGTCAGAAGCAAATTCCGAAAAAAACAGTGAACCTGTTAATTATCTTGATGAAAAACAAAAGGCCGTACACGTAGCAATGAGTTTGATTTGCTAATTAATTTCTACAGACAATGATTCTCTTATGTTCTTAATGCTTTGTTTCTTTTTTATTTCTTCTCTGGATTTGGTCCTTCATGGGATTTGCTGTGTGAGTTCTTTCATTGGGCTATGTTACAAATCAGGACATTCACACTCCATATTTTTCTATACTCTAAATACTTTAAATATTGAAAAGGCAAAGCCCTCTGAAATTTTTTGCAATGAGTTTATGTGCAAGAGTTTCAACATAAAGAAAGGACTACCTCAGAGAGTCAGTTGCATGCTTTCATATCGTACACATATTTTACACATAAATATCGTAAAAATAACCACTGCAGAAAACCCCTTCAATAGCCAGATTATAGTACAAATACAGTATATGGATGATAGAACCACAGGGAGGTTTCGGGTGGCAGTGACCTCAGACCTCGCACCTGGCTAGCTTAAAAACTAGACCAACTTTCTGAGAGCATCATCCAGTTGAGTTTTATAGTTCCCCAAGGATGGGGCATCCACAGCGTCTGCCAGCACCTGTTTCTGGGCTGAACCACTCTTCCAGGGAAGAATTTTTTTTCCTTAAGTCTAATCAGATGCCACAGATAAACTCTGCTATTCAGAAGACAATGCCTAACCTGACCAGCCAAACAAGTCTTACCTGGGCACCGGGGAGTTTTGTGGGCCACAGCGGTACCGCTGATAGGACGACCGTTGGGAGTGACACACCAGCAGTATCCAGTGTAACTGTGGCACTGAACCTGTCAGAAATGACATCAACCACGGGCAGTTTGTCAGACATATGCCTGTTATCCCACAGCTTTCACGACACATGAGTACAAAAGAGTCTGTATTGACAAAACCTAGAACAATAAACCAAAATGGACCTAATCTCAGTCCTACATATGATTCTTTAGCATAAAGAAGAGTTTATTCCAAGCAAAGTGTGGTAGGTCTTTCAGAATCCAATGGAAGAGAAAACTATTGAAATATGTGGTTGTTTACACCCTATTTCAGAAGAGTCAGGTGCAGGTGTTATGAAAACCTCACAACAAAGTTCCTCAAGGGACATGTAAACTGTTCCTGAAGTAATCAATCTCGAGGTTTTTTCCACATAGAGAACATATTGTTCCACCCACTGAAGGAGCAGGACAGAGTGCTTCTGCCAGCATTATTCATATCCCAGGCTGTCAGAAAGGAAACTCTTGGAATTCCTCTTAGAAATCAATTGCATTATATTTCCTGAGGGCCAACATCACTTCCCTCACCATGCTTAAAATGAGAAGGATTGTCTTCTGCGCAACTCCGCAACTGAAATGCAGTACAGAGGCAGCAGAAGGTGATCTTGATTGAAATACAGACCACAGGGTAAGCTTCTAACTGCATCTCTTCTGAGTTCCATGATCTAACCTAAGTAAATTAGTCTCAGACCGTATGCTTGTGCAGAAAATCAGCTGAGAAAAGGGAAGAATCCTGTATGATTCATGCTTTAGCACTGAGATATGGACCCTGGTCACAAGATTTCTGGTTCGAATCACGAACAGATCAGAAATTCCAAGCATTTTACCATCTGATGAGTATTCAGGGGGCTACAAGAATGACTCAGCTGCCTCAGCCTAGAAGAACAGGGAGTGTATCACATGAACAATGGTAATGTTTGGCTCTTTTGCTGGCCAACTCTGAAAAAAAGAACAAGGACTTGGCACAAAACATGAATTTTCCTTCCATTTTTTAACGTCAGTGTTAGCACAAATTACATTTCATTTTGAAATTACATTTCCCTTCATTACATTTGTCTCTTCTTCATCCTCTGCAAACACACGTGTTCTGACTTTCTGGCCATGCAAGATACTGAATGAAAAATTTTCAACCTGACTATATGTGCCATCGTCATTGCATTCTGGAATAAACACTTGTTGAAATTCCTTGCGAGCTTGTTCCTGGGTGTACTTCCTCTCAGCCACACATCTGGAAACATCTAGAGAAAGGGAGAACACAAGTCAGTTGGAAGATGTAATATGAAGAAAGGATAGGTGTTAATCTAAATTAAGAAAAAGGAATAAGGCTCTGAGACCCACGTAAAGAGAGTCAGAATTATAAATAGTGCAAATGTACAATCACATTATTTTTAGGAAAGAAAACCAATGGAAGATGATAATTTGCGGACAATAATCCAGAACTCAGAAATGAGATGGAGATGCCTGGAGAGACAACCTTGCTGCTCCAACTGCTGCCAAAGGGCAGAAGCCCAAACAGGGCTTCTCCTGTCAATTTAACGCAGCAATAGCTGTCACTTTGTGCCCCACAGTATTCTTCCAGTGCTGGTGGCAGCACCAGCTTTCTTGTGCTTCAGGAAAGGCAAAGCAGGCAGCAGGAGTATAGCTGCCTTGTATTTCTTACTGTGAGTTTACACACCATTTACTGCAGTTAGGCAGCGATCTCAGCTGTGACTACAGGTGTGCCTACAAGGCTGGTAAAAAAAATAAAATAAAATATACTGTACAGCAGAGGGGCTTATTGGGGAGGTGATGCAATAATAATTTTGGACATGCTTAATTCATATTATGCCAAAATTTAGTGTAACAGTTTATGATTTAGACATGGGACAAGCCAAGTCTACCACATGGTCCTTTTTTGCCCACTCTGTGGTTTCTTGCACCATCTCCTGCATTACTTAGTACTGGTGTCCATCCAAGACAAGGTAGCAAACTAGGCAGCTTTAATTCAGTAGAGTTTCTACTGTCTAATTAATTATATTGTCTACTACATATACTTTATGTGAATTAGGCAGCCGAGGGCTGAGAAAAGACACATAACATTAGCTGTTGTACCTCTTTTTGTTTAAAGCCGCTACAAATTTTAGCAGGCTGCTGATGCGGAATCAATACTTCAGGATCTGCTTAAGTGAAGAAATTTCAGGAGAAATGAGAATACCAGGCAAGCTTAAGGTAGTATTAATGATTTCAAGATGTGACTGTAACATCTGAATTGGAATGATCACAAGCATACAAGCAGAGAAATTTGCTGCTTCTGATCCCTGTTTTGTTTAAAGATGGTTTGACAGTAACTGGCTAGTTCCTTTCAGGGATAAAACTGTCCAGCAATTACCTGTGAGACACGGCTGTTGTGGTGATTCGTGAACATTTGCACAGTTCTTAGAAAGCACGGGGATGGGCTTTCTAGTCCACGCAAGTTGCACATTGAACAGAATCTGAACAGCGAGGCAGCAACGCCTTCACTTCCCCATTTGATACAAACAGCATTTTGACAGGGTTTTGCCATTTAACAGTCCCCAGGAGCCTACAGGTGAGCCAGCTAAGTTCCCAGTCCCCCAAGCACCCTCTCTGTGCCAGTCTCATCCAGACATACACACACAGAACCAGCATGGAAGCTTGGCGCAACTGCAGCAGTCCCTAGTACAGGATGAATCCTTCACTGGTCATCTCCACCAACCTTTGGACAATTTGCCTGGCAACATTAGCCTAAAAAATTCCCTTCAAGTCCCAAGCAATCTGGTGTGGAATTGCGGCATAATGAGGATAGAAACTGGTCCTCAGCATCTGCATCCTGAAAACAAAATTGGGGCCCCTTAATTCTAATCTTCGTATTGATTTCCCTCCTGGTCTTGGATTTGTGTGCACTACTTCTGTGCATTAGTTTACTCTTCTCACAGGAGCATTATGAGAGTTCATGTTGGTAAAATGCCCAAAATACAAGTTGTTTCACTTTGAAAACCTGTGTTTCGGTCTTAACAACCTTCATCGTATTGTGCTATTTCAGGAGGAATATTCACAGAGATGCAATGCTATCTAAAATGGACAGAAAAGTTCAACCATCCAGAAATGTAAGAAAAATAAGGAACTGAATTATTTAGTACTCTGGTGCTTTAATAACTTGTTTCATCAAGGGAAAATTATGGCCAATGTACTGTGCAGCTCAGGTAAAGTCTGTTAATGTATCCACTGCCAGTTTTGGGGAAAAAAAAAGAAACATTTTAAGCAAGCTTCGGTGTCGTAAGCCTTCTTCTGAGCATGGTTTGGTTATACAGTACTTAACAACATGTGGTTTTAATGTAGCTAGTATTTTAACTGAAAATAAATCACTCCTTTGTTGGACCTCTGTCCTCGTTTTTCTAGAATGACATGTGGTTTAAATGTCTAAAAGGAAAAGTGATATAAATTCCATCACATAAGGTCTCTGGTATAGTACCAGAAGGGTTGTAAATTATCTCCAATATTTGAATTATCATAAAAACATGCCAAGGAGAAAGAGAAGTTCTCCAAAACTGTCCACCACTTGTTCCTAAAGAGCCTGATGCTCTAAAGGCCTCCTATTTGTGGATGATCTAATATGTTTTAAAATCAACAATGACCGAATTTAGTGGAATATAAAATTCACATTTGAAGCCTTATTTTGTATTATATAACCATGGAAACATTTTAAAGCTGTTGGGCATTACTGTGCTTCAGTATACCCAAAATAAATCCATGAGGAATATCTCTTATCAAGTCAAGCATCTGAAACTCTGTACAGCCAAAATATCATTCCCAGTTCTGTTTTTTTATTTCACCAAGGTATTACCACAGGGACACAGAGATGTGGTCCCAACCTGATAGAAGAAATGCAATAGGGTGGTCAAGATAAAAAGATGACATATAAAAACATTCTTCCTCAGAATACTAATGAACATTAGATTATTAATTCAGAGGAGATAAATTCCTTCCAAATAAAACATCACTGAAGCCAAAAGAAGTTATAATATTTTTTATAATAAATATGGAAGATTACACCATCTGAGCATCTGCCTCTGTGTCCTGGTTGCAATACCTTCTAAATCTACTGTGTGATTTCAAACATATTTCCCAAAGGAAAAGAAGAATTCAAGACATTTAAGTGCTAGAAATTTATGTAATAGCTGAAAAAGGATGAGAAAATTAATTCTTGCCATGACTGGGAGAAAGGCTGAAACACGAACTCACATCAAAGTATCAGACAAGAGATAGATGTAGAGAAACCTTGCAGCTCCTAATAGGCAAAAGTCAGTGATAGGTGAGATCCTAATCCACCGGGAAATGAGCCTTCCCCATGGCCATTGCTCATGCTCACTCAGCGAACCCAAATCTGGGACTCACTGTGCAAAGCCCTGTCAGTGCTCTCAGGCGGTTCTTGTCTACGGGCCCCTCTGTGCACCTTGCACAATTGTAACTAATGAAGATGACTCGTGTGAATCTCACATTAGTAGGATAAGCCTAGGCTTAAGCGGCTTGCCAGAAGGTGGTTTATAGGAATATTGACATCTAAGGCGATACCAGTGAAGTCGCTCACATACAGATTCAACTTTCCTCTTTATCTGGAATGGGAATAATTCAGATCAGGATGGATCCTGATTATTTTGAAATGAAGACAGAGAATGAAAGCTGGTGGGACTTACCTGTGTAAGAGGTACCTCTGTGCTGATTAATCTGCTCACAGCTTTGATTTTGATAATCATGGACCCTGACAGGCTAAACTCTTTTGGGGTGAATGGCATCACACCAGTGACAAACAGCCTGAGAGCAGAGGGGACTCCAAGTCTGCAAGGTGTGGGAAGGATGAAAAGTGCTGTGCAACGCTGTGCATCACTGGAACAAGTCAGCCTTGTTTCACTGTTGTTATATTGGATTTCTAGCTCTAAAACTTTTTTTTTTAAATCTGTTTTTGTTTAAAATGTTGGAACCATCCAGTGGAAAAATAAGGGGCTCAGAACTGTTACTGGTTTCTGACTAGAATTCCCACTGTACTTTATTTCTCTCTCTAGCTTAAGTATTAATAAGAAAGCCAGCAGGCTCAAGCCGGAATCTGGTATATGACCTGACAAAAAGACCATTTGGTTCTAAGATCTGTAAAAAGCTGGCTGAAATGAGGTCTTATTTGCCTATACTCAGACAATGAGCAAAACTAATTTTGCAGATATGTATGCCCAGCTGTACTTCTGAATTATGTCAATGACTGACTCAGTGAGACTTCATCCTCTCAACTCCAGATAAATGGGCTTTTACATCCCAGAAGCTTTCTGGGGAAAAAAAAATTCTCCTGACATAGAAACTGAGCATGAAGATGCATGAGTTTACCTTAAATTAGCTCACTTGAACTGTATTAGCTGTCAGACTGGGTTGTTACAGGGCTCGATGCGTTTTAGCACAGTACATTGGCCAGTGTGTTGATTGTACCACTGTGACTTAACACCAGGACTGCAAAGGCAGAGAGAGGTTTAAGAAGAGAAACACCTCTCCGGGTGAGTAACTGAAGACAAAAATGGGTGCACAGGAGTGGACAGAAACACACAGAACTGAGGAGATTACAGATCTGTAGCTGTTTGGGCAGGTCTTTCTGAATTGCCCTGATGACAATTCTGGCTTCCAGAGGATAGGCACAGGTGAAATATAAAGCCATCTTTAATTCTGTGCTAAGCTTCTATAGGCAACAGGGAAGACTTTCACCGGTGAAGTGGCACCGGTACACCGCTGCAGGATCCAGAACCAGATTATGTCACGCGTGACACCAGGGAGCATAGGACTTTCTGAGATAGATATGAAGTCAATAGGAAATTGCAGTACCCAAGGAAATCCTGGAAACAGAATTAGCCTCACAAACAGCACAGGACTGCCTTGAAACTAATGTCATTTTATGCCTTATTTTCAACAGTACAGCACCAAAACCACTGAGCTTTGCAAAAAAAAAAAAATCCATCAACTTCAACTCTGCTGGCTAATCCTTAAATAATATATCACACAGAGAGAAGTTTATTACTGCAAAGTAGAAGTTTATCTTTAAAACAATGACACAAACTTATCAAGGGTGTAAACACCATCTCTAGAGTGACATTTAATACAATTGAATTTATAGCAACTTTAGGGCTCCACAGGGAGATCTAATCCAGATTCTCTCATGGAAAAGTAAACAGCTTGCCAAAAGAATAGATAAATCTCTTGCAAAGGT